CGCTCAAGAAGCAACTAGATAAGTTTAGTATGTGCCGCGATCACATTTTATATAGAGAAAGTTGTCTCAAATGGTCCAAAATCATATGTTATTGTCAAAATCATATTTTATATAAGCAAGTCAATGATAGTATAATAGAAAACAAATCTAGTAGTTCTTGTAAAGACGAATTGTATTTGAAGGAATCTGTCTCATGGGAGATAAAAGGCATCTTGAAGGATGATGTAATGCTTTGAATCGCAATCTTGCCTTGTGTGGCAAGAAAAAGGGTTTTTAAAACTACAAATTATCTTATATCTTTCACTATTGTTGACACTGTTTGCTTTCTACTCGGAGATATGTCTTTCTTTCGTCTGTTCTCGCACCTTTGGATTTTATTGTTGGATTTGATTTAAAACTTATTAGTATACAAATAAATTGAAAAGAGGAACCACCATTTTACTTCACAATGTAATCATCAAACTAAATGCCAATGATAGATATTGAGGTGGAAACAGATTGAAAAACCTGAAACTTGTAGAATATTCAAATCCGAGCTACTACTAACTATACGGATTCGGATTTGGATCTATGACTTTTGGATATGTGTCTAAAAATCATATATCCACGGATCTCAGATCGAATTTTGGATCCCTAATCGCAATCACTAGTACTCAAACTTTGAAACCCTAAATTATTGAAAAGTTCAGACAAATATGATCAAGTCGAATTCGATATTCCGGATAGTTTTCACAAATGTCATTAAATCATCCCCAAATTAAAAGAAAAGAGAGAACAAACTTGAATTTGAAAGGTTTAAGCTTGGCTCATCTTGTTTAAACAATTAATTCCTTCTTCCATGTAGTCCTCTCTATTGATCCAGAACTCGGGTGCATCCTGCAACATCGAATCGAAATACTCTTACGATCAGTTTGATTCATTTCACAGACTAATACTTTCAGGTTTTGTGTTTCGAAAGAGAAAGCATTGAAACTTTTGTTACCTTCATGATTCCTGCAAGAACAGCTCCTCCGAGGTATACCATGTGTTTCCTTCTCGGTGGATCTTCGATCCGCAATCTGAGTTTCTGATTGATTGAAAAAACCCGAAGAAAATATATATTAAAAAAAACCGAGATAATGACAGACTGATCATGACATTATCGAGATATTTTTACCTTCAAGCCATCTTTGTTTCCTTTTAGAACTGTATCTAGATACCGATCCTGGATTTCTTTCTCAAGACTGGAACAAAGAGAACACCGAAGACAATAAACATAAACCGTTGAGCTTCTTCTTGTTTAATGATAAGTACAAAAAAAAACAAAAATACAAACCGGCTAGGTAATCCTGGATACATGGTGCTTCCTCCGCTTAAAACTATGTGTTGGTAGAGCTGTGAAAGAAAGAGCAAATGGTTTAAGACAAATCTATGATATGGTTTTGGATCTTTCATTTGAAATAAGAAGCAAGCACATACCATCATGCGGTTATCAATATCCATTTCTTGAATACAGCGGAAAACCATGTCTGCCATTCCATCACCTTCAACATCAATGAGATCCTGAAAAAAAAAAAAAAAATTTGTTCGTGATCAGCCACGAGATTCTTGGAGAGTTGAATATGTTCAAAAAGAGAAATTAGCAAAGGGAGCAATTAAGGTTTACCGGTGTAAAAAGCGCTTCAGGTGCTTGGAATCTTTCAGTGCCTACTTTGATGACTCTCCCATCTGGAAGCTGGTCACAGTACAAAATCACAACAGATTAGTTTTTGAGGCTGCAATTGGCAGAAGTATGAAACTTTATCGACTATCGGATGACCGAACAACAAAAAAACAGTAGGAAAGATGCACGAAAACAAAGGATTATAATATATTATCTACCGTCTTTATTACCAAAAAATTACATAGGAACGATGGCATGAATCTTCAACTTCCTCTACAGACTCAAGTTTGCTAAGAATTTGTTATTTACTTGGTTCTGATCATGAGTTTAGATTCATCTAAGCTTGCGTATGCTAGTTTTTGTTTCTTGCCTCTATAAGCCCTAGAAATATTGAAAATTACCACTCCTGACAGGTTCATACCAGAATAGAGAACTTACCGTATAATTCTTAACAAGGATGGTTGTCTCAAGCCCAAGTTGAGACTCTCTCTTGTAATCATAACTGCAAACAAATAAAAAGAAAAAAGCAGTTGTAATGTATTACTACTCAGATATTAGAGGAAAACTGTGAAGAGGTCTTTGCATGCCTTATATAGCAGAGCTTTTCTTTGATTTCTCTAACTGTCTCAAAGTCAGCCGTTTTATTCATCGCATATCTGGTGAACAAACAATTTTATTATTTAGCGAATATAAATCATCTCAGATATCAACAAAACGTTAATTAAGCTTCCAAATGTGAAGAATTTATGATTCAGTTTCTCACCCTCGTCGAGAAAGGAGATCAACGAGATAAGCCGTTATGTGTCTGCCAGCGACATTCATTCTTTTGGTAAGATGAGGGAACGAGTACCCATCAACCACCGGAACCTAAGATGTGACGCAAAGACGGATAAGTGCTCTATAAGCAAAATTCGATCTGAAAATTACAAAGTTATGTTGTAGCTTACCACATGAGTAACACCATCACCAGAATCAATAACCAAACCAGTTAGCAAACCTGAAACCAAGAGTTCAACACACGAAGAATAACATAAAAGAACTGTGCATATGTTTTTAACAGGTGACTATATAAACACACGAAAGAAAATATAAACCTTCAAGAATCTCCATAAGCACCTTGAGCATACAGAGTCAAAACGGCTTGGATTTGGATGAAAACGCCAGCAAAATTGTATTTCTCAAACATTGTCTCAATCTGTTTTACAACATAAACAAGTTACTACCCCCAATAACCATCAATGCGATTTTTTGTTTCTGTTTACCACAGACTTGACAATATCGTACCATTTTTTCGCGATTCTTTGAGGGATTAAGAGGTGGATCCGTGAGCAATATCTTACAATCCGACGGATTGATCTATTAATAAGGAAGGGGTTTAAGAGTAAGTCCAATCAAATGCGTAAAACCAAATTGCCAAGACAAGCAAGGGAAGGAATTTACTTTCAGCTCGTTGTAGAAAGCGTGATCCCAAACATGTTCCATATCTTCCCAATTCTGCACAATACCGTTGTGTACAGGATAATTTATATCCAACTGATGCCGGAGCTCAGCGCAGGCCTCGCCAACAACTATATCCTAAACGAAAACAAAAAGAAAGTAGAAGAAATTGAATTATAATCTGATTTTGTTTATTTCAATTCTTGTAAGAGGAAAGGCAACATATATATATATACAACCTTCACTTGCTGCTCCATGAGTGATTCTTCGTACCGAAGCAACGGCCTTCCAACGACACAAGGGAAAACAGATGTTGGGAAATTCTCTCCAGCAAATCCACATTTTACATACTGAAAAATTGCCATAAAAATATAAACTTGTTCCCAAACAAAAATCTAAAACAAATCACATCACAAAGAAACTCAAAGTTATGCAACCCATTACGAAATGGCTTTAGAGAAATCTCATGGGTTTAGCTTCGATTCTAATAAAAACACGATCTTCTGCCCAAAACATGATCATCTTCAAATAAAAAATTGTAACTTTCAGACAACTAGATCCTAATCTTCCTCAGTATTGAGAAACCTTCAGGCATAATCATCGTTTCGGTAATGAATATTATATTCTAACAAACCCAGCAAGAAAATGGAATGTTTGATCAGATTCAATTAAAGAGCTCGTCTAACCTAAGGATCGGTATATAGAAGATGATAACGAAAGCAAATAAGAGAAGAGAAAGATTACGCCGGTGCCGTTGTCGCAAACGACGACGTTTTTGTTGTCCATCTTCTCTGGTTTATATGTCTTCGCTATAGAAATTTCAGATTTTGTTTCAAATTACATGAATCAGATTTTCGCGGATCTAAGAAAAATATAAACTTCTCTTTGAATCGAAGCGAAGAATCACTGTTTTCTTCTACTTCTTCCGCTTTGCTTTTTGGCCGGTCACTGGTCTCGATCGAGAAACAACAATACTGTTTCCTCGTCTTCTCTGTAAGAACGCGCGTCGTTTTCTTTACAATAAAACGTCACGTTGTGCCAGTGGTCAATACAAAAACGGCGTCTCTTCTTGGGCTGCAGAGAGAAACTCTTCAATGGGCCTTAACACGTCAACTCTTCAATGGGCCAGTTAATTACCAAACTATATAAGTAACATTTTACTTTAGGTGAAAACGCAGCAGTAAGATTGAGGATTTTCTGACGAAATTATCTCTAGTGATCTGAATTATTATTTTTTTGACAATTTTGTTCCTCTTTTGCATTGACTAATTAAATTTTTTAGCAGTTTTTTATTTACCAACATTATTTAACTAGCCTGCTTCACCTCATTTTCTTAGTTTGTTTACCTAACTCACTCTTTTCTTTTCTTTCATTTGTCAAACTTAAGTCAAAATGAGAAAAGAGATTTGAACTTTTTGACTCTTTGAACAATTTGTACTATCTTTGTCAAAGCTTCAAAAGCAAGATATAAATGTAATATCTAGGTACTGCAAAACTCTGAAACAACTTAACTTCTGTTTATAGATTCAAACTAAATTGAAGCTGAAAACAGCGAAATCCAAAGATACTTAAGAGCAGTAACATGGATGCAGGTAAGAGTTAAAGAACAGAGCTCCATTAAAGCTCAAACCCACTGAACCAGAACATACAGCAAAGTGTTTTACACTAGACTTAAACTAAAGTCTTAGCGGAAAAGAAAGATCTTTGGACATGCTATAGAAGAGCAATAGTGTGCAAAATAAGCTATTGGTAGTTTCGTCCATCATTGTAAAACTGTAATCTTCATTCTAAAATGGAAGGCAAGTATACAATACCATTGTACTATCGAAAAGCCGGTTTCTT